ACAACAAACGAAAGAACTGCAAGCCCACTTGGAAGAATAATTTGACCTGTGAAGAGCAAAATTACATAGCCTAAGCTGACAAAGTGCATGTGAAACTTTCCGAACACAAATGGATGTTATTTTTCAAAACTTCTTATAATGGGACCTGGAAACCTGTTACTTCTAGCCTCTAGAATTGATTGATTTATTGATTTACACAATTTATACCTCGTCTTTCTCGACCCTGAAGGGACTCAAGGCAGTTTATATATGACAATTAGAAGAAAGATAGTAATATCTTTCCAACATACCAAGGCAAGTCGCTTCTATTTGGGTATCAGCCAGCACGTCAACGACTTAAATCAAGAAATAGTTTTCTAAGATCTACAGAGACACTTGCTGGAACACCTCAGCAAGCGAGAGTCCAAAAGTGGCAGGCTCAAACCCAGAACCTCAACCAATGGCTGATGCCAAATGAGAGACTCCCCCCTGGGCACACAGAAGACTGGGCGACTTGGAAGGCGCTGAACAGACTGCACTCTGGCACCATGAGATGCAGAGCCAACCTTAAGAAATGGGGCTACAAAGTGGAATCCACGACATGCAAGTGTGGAGAAGGGCAAACCACAGACCACCTGCTGCGATGCAACCTGAGCCCTGCTACATGCACAATAGAGGACCTTCTTATAGCAACACCAGAGGCACTCCAAGTGGCCAGCTACTGGTCAAAGGACATTTAATCAACTACCAAGCTTGCAAACTTTGTGCTTTGTTTGTTTGTTTATTAAAAAATGCAATACAACTGTTTGGTTTTCTCCTGACGCGATAAATAAATAAATATACCAAGGCAAATATAAGCTTTTTTCAAATTCTGTGTCAAAAGCATTGCATAAATAATATAAAACTAATAAAATAGAGGGAACACAAGCAGCTAAATAATTTCAGACCAAAAACGGGCAACAGTGACCACACTGTCTGTAGCTTTAAACAATTCTTCCTCTGTAAATGAGGCAGGGCATTGTGGACAAGAATACAGATGCAGAATAGTTTGTTCTGCTACACCAGGTGTCCTCGAACTTTTTAAACAGAGGGCCAGGTCACAGTCTCTCAAACTGTTGGAGGGCCAGATTATATATTTTTTAAAAAATGAATCAATTCCTATGCACATTGCACATATCTTATTTGTAGTGCAAAAAAAAACCCCACTTAAAAACAATACAATTTATTATTTATCGTGTCATCAGCAACCATACCATTGTATTACATTTCTAACAGAACAAAACAAACACACAGATTAAAAAAAACAAAACACAGATTTTGCAAACTTGGTAGTTGGTTAAATGTCCTTTGACCAGTATCTGGCCACTTGGAGTGCCTCTGGTGTTGCCGCAAGAAGGTCCTCCATTGTGCATGTGGCAGGGCTCAGGTTGCATTGCAGCAGGTGGTCAGTGGTTTGTTCTTCTCCGCACTCGCATGCCGTGGATTCCACCCTGTAGCCCCATTTCTTAAGATTGGCTCTGCATCTCGTGGTGCCAGAGCGCAGTCTGTTCAGCGCCTTCCAAGTCGCCCAGTCTTCTGTGTGCCCAGGGGGGTCTCTCATCTGGTATCACCCATGGATTGAGGTGCTGGGTTTGGGCCTGCCACTTTTGGACTCTCGCTTGCTGAGGTGTTCCAGCGAGTGTCTCTGTAGATCTAAGAAAACTATGTCTTGATTTAAGTCGTTGACGTGCTGGCTGATACCCAAACAGGGGATGAGCTGGAGATGTCTCTGCCTTGGTCCTTTCACTATTGGCTGCTATTTCCCGGCGGATGTCAGGTGGTGCAATACCGGCTAAGCAGTGTAATTTCTCCAGTGGTGTAGAATACAATAATTAAAATGAAGAACAATTTCAACAAATATAAACTTATTAGGATTTCAATGGGAAGTGTGGGCCTCCTTTTGGCTGATGAGATAGGATTGTTGATGTTGTGTGCTTTCAACCTAAGTTTCAGACTTAGATTGACCCTGAGCAAGGGCTGGGTAAATGACCTTGGAGGGTCGTATCCGACCCTCGGGCCTTTATTTGTGGACACGTGTGCTACACAGTTGCACAAGGTGGAGGATTCTTCTAGGGGCCCTTCCACACAGCCATACAACCCAGAATATCAAGGCAGAAAATCCCACGATATCTGCTTTGAATTAGGTTAGGAACAGATTTTCTTTATTATTAAAAAAAATCCTTTATAAAGACTTTGAAAATTCGAAAATCTATGGATAAGTCAAATTTGGTTATGAAATTTGGTGAGCTAATAGTGGTCCATGTGTTCTACCACTGTAACAAGTTTAATCAGGATTAGTCAAAAAATGAGGAAGGGAGAATCCTTTGAAGTTTTCCCAGTGCTAGTGCTGTTTTTCCCTACTGTGCATGTGCATCCGCATTAACAAATTGATTCAGAAGTTTCAGAAAGTTTCAATTAAAAAAAATGGAAATGACTTTAGAATCAAACCACCAGCGCCCCCTACTTCCGAACTGAGTTTAGAACCTTTTTTTTGGATCAATCAAGTCTACTATCAACACAATATTTTTAAGTTTAGAAGGTGGTTCTTGACTTCTACTCCCCAGTCTTTTAATCTATCTCTCTTTTCATCTATCTTTCTTTTGTCTCTCACACATTTTTCATTGACCCATTGAATCTAGTCAGTGTCACCTGAAAGAATGGCAGGCATTATATTGCCTGGTTGACAGCAGAAAACAAATACATAAAAAGTTAATCCCTTTACAGCTGAGTGATTTGTTAATGCCTCACTTATCACTAAAAGCCTGTTGCTGTCAATTATTCATATGCACAAGGAACACACAAAATTTGAGAGGTATGCCTGCTAGAAAGGATGAGAACCTGACAGGAAGCATATTGCTTTATAGGAGGTGAATCTTCAAGGGCACTTTTAGAAGGACTCCTTGGCTCTCAATATAAACCCTCCCAAAGTCGATGAAACACTTGCCACGGTCATGTGGCCAGCATGACTGCATGGAGCAGTGTTACCTTCCTGCTGAAGCGGTACCTATTAATCTACTCACATTTGCATGTTTTCGAACTGCTAGGTTCCTCAGGGATCGCGTTTGGACAATGATGCTGGGGAAAATGGAAGGAAAAAGAAAGAGGGGCAGACCAAGGGCAAGATGGATGGATGGTATCCTTGAAGGGACTGGCTTGACTCTGAAGGAGACTGCCTTTTCTAGATGTCCTAGTCATCCGCAAACCAGATCAACAATTGGGTCACACCGTCTACAGAAAACCCACACACACAGATAGATATCTACATAAAAACTCCAACCATCACCCAAGTCAAAAAAGAAGCACCATTAAAGCCTTGGCAGACCGTGCAAAAAGAATCTGCGAACCCCACCTCCTCCAAGATGAACTGAACCACCTCAACTGGGCTCTCCAGGCCAATGGATACTCCACCTCAGACATCAGAAGAGCTGCAAGACCAAGAACAAGCCACGAGAGTAAAGATGAAGATCCACCCAGAGGAAAAGTGTTCCTGCCATACATCAAGGGAACCACTGACCGCATAGGGAAGCTGATGAGGAAACACAACATACAAACAATCTACAAACCCACCAAGAAAATCCAACAAATGCTACGTTCAGCAAAGGACAAGAGGGATCCTCTCACCTCTGCAGGAGTCTACCGTGTACCATGCAGCTGTGGGCAAGTCTACATAGGGACCACCAAACGCAGCGCCCAGACACGCATCAAGGAACATGAAAGGCACTGCAGACTACTTCAACCAGAGAAGTCAGCCATAGCAGAGCACCTGATGAACCAGCCTGGACACAGCATATTATTTGAGAACACAGAAATGCTGGACCACACCACAACCACCATGTCAGACTACACAGAGAAGCCATTGAAATCCACAAGCATGTGGACAATTTCAACAGAAAGGAAGAGACCATGAAAATGAACAAAATCTGGCTACCAGTATTAAAAAACTCTAAAATTATAACAGCTATACAACAGAGAGGAAAAAACCAGGCACAGATTAACACCTCCCAGCAACAGATTTTCCCAGGACTCAGGCAGGCCTTCAAATGCTAATGAAGGTGATCAGCTAAACATTCACACCTAACTGCAGCAGGGAAGAGCTCCTTGCCCCACCCCAGCCATTCCACAGATATATAAACCCATTTTTCTACTTCCAACAGACCTTCTCAACCTCTGAGGATGCTTGCCATAGATGCAGGCGAAACGTCAGGAGAAATGCCTCTAGAACATGGCTCTATAGCCCGAAAAAACCCACAAGAACCTAGTGATTCCAGCCATGAAAGCCTTCGACAATACATAGACCTCACAACCTTTAAGGATTTTTTTTTGTCGTGTCAGAAGCAACTTAAGAAACTGCAAGTCGCTTCTGGTGAGAGAGAATTGGCCGTCTGCAAGGACGTTGCCCAGGAGACGTCCGAATGTTTTGATGTTTTTACCATCCTTGTGGGAGGCGTCCCTCATATCCCCGCATGAAGAGCTGGAGCTGATAGAGGGAGCTCATCCGCATTCTCCCAGGATTCGAACCTGCGATCTGTCGGTCATCAGTCCTGCCGGCACAGGGGTTTAACCCACTGCACCACTGGGGGCTCATACCTCTAAGGATGCCTGCCATAGATGCAGGCAAAACGTCAGGAGAGAATGCTTCTGGAATATGGCCATACAGTCTGGAAAACTCACAATAACATACATACATATACATATGAGTTTTGGATAGCATTGGGAAGTGGTGCTTTAACAATATCCCACTTTCCCTGTTTGTCTTTATTATTATTATTATTATTGTTGTTGTTGTTGTTAGTCTTCAGCTTACCTCAAGGGCTATGGACTGAATGCAAAGGTGGTTCGCACTGTATGCAACCCACAGTGTCATAACAGCCTACAGACCAACACACATGCTTCCCATGTCTTTAGTAAGGGCAGCGACCCCTCTAAGCAGTCCGCAGGCTGAGCCTGCGGCCTACACCTGCCCAGGTGAGCGGTTTACTTACTGTGAGGCCGGAGGCTGCGGACGAGGCCTGCGGGCGGGAGGGCGCTGGGGCGGGAGAGGCCCAGCAGGTAGGCCGGCCAAGCGGCGCAGGACCTGCGGGTGAGAGCCGGGGAAGCGCCTCCTCCTCCTCCGCCCTGGGCCAGGCCCGCCAGCAGGAGCAGGAGCGGCAGGAGCGTCTGCATCTCGGCTGAGCGTCTGCGCCGCCTTTCATGGCTCGGCTAGGCCAAGGAGAGCCGGCCTCCCCTTTTGACCCGCCGGCCCGCCTCCGCCATTTTGTCAGATTCCAAGGCAGCCTGAAACATGCGTCCAGAAGGCCTACCAACGCCACCGTTTCATTTCAGGCGAGGGAAGAAGACAAGAAAGATCTCAAGAGATGGCCTTCCCATATCTCTTCATAAGACATCAATGCAAGACTGGAAGTGCATTTCTTGAAGGATTATTTCACCCTCTTCTAAGGTTCATTCCACACAGCTGTACACAATCCACATTGAACTGGATTATATGGCAGTGTGGACTCAGATAACCCAGCTCAAAGCAGATATTGTGGGATTTCCTGTCTGGATATCCTGGGTTATTTTAGACCCCTCCCACATAACTGTAGACAATCCACACTGAACTGGATTATATGGCAGTGTGGACTCAGGTAACCCAGCTCAAAGCAGATATTGTGGGGTTTCCTGTCTGGATATTCTGGGTTATTTTAGACCCCTCCCACGCAGCTCTACACAATCTACACTGAACTGGATTATATGGCAGTGTGGACTCAGGTTACCCAGCTCAAAGCAGATACTGCGGGATTTCCTGCCTTGATATTCTGGGTTGTTTTAGACACCCACACACACTGCTGTATACAATCCACATTGAACTGGATTATATGGCAGTGTGGACTCAGATAACCCAGCTCAAAGCAGATATTGTGGGATTTCCTGCCTTGATATTCTGGGTTATTTAAGACCCCTCCCACACAGGTGTACACAATCCACATTGAACTGGATTATATGGCGGTGTGGACTCAGATAACCCAGCTCAAAGCAAATACTATGGGATTCCTGCCTTGATATTCTGGGTTATATGGCTGTGTGTACTCAGATAACCCAGCTCAAAACAGATATTGTGGGATTTCCTGCCTTGATATTCTGGGTTTTTTTAGACCCCTCCCACACAGCTGTACACAATCCACATTCAACTGGATTATATGGCAGTGTGGACTCAGGTAACCCAGCTCAAAGCAGATATTGTGGGATTTCCTGCCTTGATATTCTGGTGTATTTTAGACCCCTCCCACATAACTGTAGACAATCCACACTGAACTGGATTATATAGAATCAGAATCAAAGAGTTAGAAGAGACCTCATGGGCCATCCAGTCCAACCCCATTCTGCCAAGAAGCAGGAATATTGCATTCAGATCACCCCTGACAGATGGCCATCCAGCCTCTGTTTAAAAGCTTCCAAAGAAGGAGCCTCCACCACACTCCAGGGCAGAGAGTTCCACTGCTGAACGGCTCTCACAGTCAGGAAGTTCTTCCTCATATGGCAGTGTGGACTCAGATAACCCAGCTCAAAGCAGATATTGTGGGATTTCCTGCCTTGATATTCTGGGTTATTTTAGAACCCAGCCATGCAGCTCTACACAATCCACATTGAACTGTATTACATGGCAGTGTGGACTCAGAGAACTCAGCTAGATATTGTGGTATTTCCTGCCTTGATATCCTGGGTTATTTTAGACCCCTCCCACATAACTGTAGACAATCCACACTGAACTGGATTATATGGCAGTGTGGACTCAGATAACCCAGCTCAAAGCAGGTGTGGGATTACCTGCCTGGATATTCTGAGTTATTTTAGACCTCTCCCCCACAGCAGTACACAATCCACACTGAACTGGATTATATGGCAGTGTGGACTCAGATAACCCAGCTCAAAGCAGGTATTGTGGGATTTCCTGCCTTGATATCCTGGGTTATTTTAGACCCCTCCCACATAACTGTAGACAATCCACACTGAACTGGATTATATGACAGTGTGGACTCAGATAACCCAGCTCAAAGCAGGTATTGTGGGATTACCTGCCTTGATATTCTGGGTTATTTTAGACCTCTCCCCCACAGCAGTACACAATCCACACTGAACTGGATTATATGGCAGTGTGGACTCAGATAACCCAGCTCAAAGCAGATATTGTGGGGTTTCCTGCCTTGATATCCTGGCTTATTTTAGACCCCTCCCACATAACTGTAGACTATCCACATTGAACTGGATTATATGGCAGTGTGGACTCAGATAACCCAGCTCAAGGCAGATACTGTGGGATTCAGATACTGTGGGATTTCCTGCCTTGATATTCTGGGTTGTTTTACACACCCACACACTGCTGTATACAATCCATATGGAACTGGATTATATGGCAGTGTGGACTCAGATAACCCAGCTCAAAACAAATACTGTGGGATTCCTGCCTTGATATCCCGGCTTATTTTAGACCCCTCCCACACAGCTGTACACAATCCACACTGAACTGGATTATATGGCAGTGTGGACTCAGATAACCCAGCTCAAAGCAGGTGTGGGATTACCTGCCTGGATATTCTGAGTTATTTTAGACCTCTCCCCCACAGCAGTACACAATCCACACTGAACTGGATTATATGGCAGTGTGGACTCAGATAACCCAGCTCAAAGCAGGTATTGTGGGATTTCCTGCCTTGATATCCTGGGTTATTTTAGACCCCTCCCACATAACTGTAGACAATCCACACTGAACTGGATTATATGACAGTGTGGACTCAGATAACCCAGCTCAAAGCAGGTATTGTGGGATTACCTGCCTTGATATTCTGGGTTATTTTAGACCTCTCCCCCACAGCAGTACACAATCCACACTGAACTGGATTATATGGCAGTGTGGACTCAGATAACCCAGCTCAAAGCAGATATTGTGGGGTTTCCTGCCTTGATATCCTGGCTTATTTTAGACCCCTCCCACATAACTGTAGACTATCCACATTGAACTGGATTATATGGCAGTGTGGACTCAGATAACCCAGCTCAAGGCAGATACTGTGGGATTCAGATACTGTGGGATTTCCTGCCTTGATATTCTGGGTTGTTTTACACACCCACACACTGCTGTATACAATCCATATGGAACTGGATTATATGGCAGTGTGGACTCAGATAACCCAGCTCAAAACAAATACTGTGGGATTCCTGCCTTGATATCCCGGCTTATTTTAGACCCCTCCCACACAGCTGTACACAATCCACACTGAACTGGATTATATGGCAGTGTGGACTCAGGTAACCCAGCTCAAAGCAGATATTGTGGGATTTCCTGCCTGGATATTCTGGGTTATTTTAGACCGCTCCCACATAACTGTAGACAATCCACACTGAACTGGATTATATGGCAGTGTGGACTCAGATAACCCAGCTCAAAGGATTGTGGGATTACCTACCTGGATATTCTGGGTTATTTTGGACCCCTCCCCCATAGCAGTACACAATCTACATTGAACTGGATTATATAGCAGTGTACTCAGATAACCCAGACCAAGTAAGCAGATATTATGGGGTTTCCTGCCTTGATATTTTGAGTTATATGGCTATGTGGAAAGGCCTTTAGTCTATACTACCATATAATCCAGTTTAAAGCAGACAATGTGGGTTTTATTCAGATGTATAGAAGGGCCCATAGACATCTCTCAGGACCTTTCCAAATATATCCCAGAATATCAAGGCAGAAAATCCCACATTATCTGAGTGTGGACTCAGATAACTCAATTTTCTGCCTTCATACTCTGTGATATAAGGCTGTGTGGAAGGGCCTCTGGATTATCTGAGTCCACATTACCATATAATCCAGTTCAATGTGGAATGTGTACAGCTGTGTGGGAGGGGTCTAAGATAACCTAGTTCAAATCAAATAATGTGGATTTTCTGCGTGGATAACCTGGCAATGTAGAAGGGGCCTTAGTCTATACTGCTATAAAATCCAATTCAAAGGAGATAATGTGCGATTTTATACAGCTATGTGGAAGGGGCCTGAGAGATGACTGAGACCCCTTCAACACTGTCATATAATCCAGATTATCAAAACGGATAAACCACATTTGCACTGGAATATACGAGTCTACGCTGCCATATAATCCAGTTCAAAGCAGACAATCTGAATTGTATATGGCTGTGTAGAAGGGGCCTTAGTCTACACTCCCAGATAATCCAGGTCAAAGCAGATAATTTAGCCTGAGGTACCTTCTGAACTGTGATATAATCCAGTTTATCAAAACAGATACTCCACGTTACCTGTTTTGAACTGGAATATTTGGGTCTACATTGCCATATAATCCAGTTTAAAGCCGATATTCTGGATTTTATATGGCAGTGTACTTACTTACTTAGGCGATCCCTTGTTGGCTGAGTAGGATAGTCTTCCAGGATCAGTATTCTTGTGCGTCCGTAGGTGACTCTGGAGCCCTATTCTTGATCTGCATCTTCTCTTGCAGTGAAGGCATTGGTTTCCAGGTGGAAGGCAGTCTCGGTCGGGGTTGGCTTGACGCACCTTGTTTCACTCTTTCGCCCTCCATTCATGCCTCTTCAAATTCTACAACACTGCTGGTCAAATTCTACAGCACTGCTGAAACTTAATCCAGACAAGACAGAGGTAATCCTGGTCAGTCAAAAGGCAGACCAGGGAATAGGGATCCAGCCTGTACTGGGTGGGGTCAGACTCCCCCTGAAGACACAGGTGAACTATAAATCCCAGCAACTACAACTTCCAAATATCAAAGTGTATTTCCCCCAAAATCTACCAGTATTCACATTTGAGTATTTGTGCCAACTTTGGTCTAGATCCATTATTGTTTGAGTCCACACTGCTCTCTGAATGTAGGTTTTGTATAACTCCAAAACTCAAGGTCAATGCCAACCAAGCCCTTTCAGTATTTTCTGTTCGTCATGGCAGTTTTGTGTGCCAAGTTTGGTTCAGTTCCATTATTGGTGTTCAAAGTGCTCTTTGATTGTAGTTTAACTATAAATCCCAGCAACTACCACTCCCAGATGACAAAATCACCACGCCCCCCAACTCTAAAGGTAAAGGTAGTCCCCTGACATTAAATCTAGTCATGTCTGACTCTGGGGTGTGGTGCTCATCTCCATTTCTAAGCCGAAGAGCCGGCATTGTCCATAGACACCTCCAAGGTCATGTGCCGGCATGACTGCATGGAGCGCCGTTACCTTCCCACCGGAGCAGTACCTATTGATCTACTCACATTTGCATGTTTTCGAACTGCTAGGTTGGCAGTAGCTAGGGCC